AAGTCCCACCCCACCCGATTAAACCCCTCCCCAACCCAGTCCCCAAGCTAGTGTATAGGAGGGAGGGAGAAGACTCCCTGTCCCTCACTTGCTTGTCACTGCTGAGGCATCGAGATTGATGGCCTCAGTGCGTTTTTTTTCTTTTCTGTATTGGACAGCTTAGACCAATGGCACTTTGCCATTGGTCCAAGTTATCCACAGAGCTCATGCCTCTAACACAGAGTAGAGGCTGTGACAGCTCTTGCCTCACCAAGTTAGCTTACACAAGCAGTGGGGAAGCTTGCTGCTGTGTAAGCTAACTACCTCTAAAAAGTCAGATGCAGCGCTGCCTGTAATTAACAGGCAGTGCTCCGTTCATGACAGGTTACACAGCGGGGAGGATTTCCCTGCTGTGTAACCTGATAGAAGCCGATCTGAATGGAGAAAAAGTCTGAAGCTGACAGCTTTTTCCTTCATAATACTAGGTGAGGCTCCGCCTCACCTGTCTCCCCTGACCGCACGTCCCTGAGTTTATCCAGTTTCCCATCTCCTCTGATAAAAAAGTGTAATACAGAATAGATAATAGAAGGTAACACTGCAAGTCCTTTGGTCAACGTGTCACCCTTTTCAAGACCCAAAGTCATTCTCTGACATACTTGTTGAACATAAAATCTAAGAGCAAATATAAGACATGTGTGAGGATTTATTAGCTCTCAATTCTCCTTTGCACATCTCCCAGATATGTACACTTTGTACGTGATAGTGCACAGAGCTCCATGGGACAAGAAGGTGCATTGGTTTGTAATGAGTAGAATACAGGAGCTATCAGTAGTGTGCGCGGGGTGGAGTGCTATAGGCAGAGTAGACTTTACTTCAGAATGAATAACTGTTCATAGAATTTGAGTATGTTTGTAGGTTCAGGCAACAGAGCACCTGGAGTTGGTTACATTGGCAGGGGCAGGCTTGTGCATATTGGGTAGGAACCAAAGAAAACTCAAGGAAGGAAGGTAGGGTCAGCAATGGTTGAACATTTTTCATTCCAGAGCTATACATAAATAATAAAATGGATCCAAGCCATTCTTTTCTGTAGAAGACTTCCCCGTGGAGCCAATGTGCCTAGCAAGGTCCAAAATGTCCGGGCATTCTCAGGTCTTCTCAGCACCAGTGTGATTAACCAGTTATTTGTGTTGAGACAAACAGGTTTAAAGTGGACGGTACCAAAATAAAACCAACTTATTATTAAAATCAATTAAAACAGCCTTGCCGGAGACTTGCTAGATTTATGTCTCACTTCCGCCAAGTTTTGTAATGAGTCCACCTTAGTGGCATTTAGGACCTTAGAAATTAATGTGCTGTTACTGGTGTTACATCTTCTCAGATCTGCCTTGATAGTTTGATCCTGGCTGTAGGGAAATAACCTCAGTTCTCAATAAGAATATTGATACATACGGTCCATAAAGAAAGCACTTTATGTGCAGATGCGTTAGATGTTGGACAGTTCAAGCAGAGACAAAACACATAGAGGTGTTTTTATAAAATGTTCACAGAGCTTTTCACCTCTGTGTGGTAGATTTCCTATGCTTCTCCGTTCCATCGAATGGCCATAATGACGTGCAAATCTACAGCACAAATGTTTGCAGAGAGAACAGCTCTGCAAATATTTTATAAAAGCATCCCCAAAGCATGGTCAATGTAAGATATATGTACACACATCAAGCTGATATGCTATAAAGACAAAGAGCAAGTGTCAGAAGGAGGAGAAGGAGGAGGAGGAGGAGAGGGAGGAGGAAAAGAGGAAGAAGTAGAAGAGGAAGAAGGAGGAGGAGGAAGGAGGAGGGGGGGTGAAGGGGAGGGGGAGGGAGGGGAGGAAGAAGAGGAATCGGAGTTGGAGAGAGGGAAGGAGGAGGAGAAGAAGAAGAAGAAGAAGAAGAAGAAGAAGAAGAAGGGGAAGAAGAAGAGGAAGGAGAAATGCATGCAAATTTGTCTTACAGTTATACTGACACTGCTGGGCATAAATGACCCCTTGACAGGAAAGGGTTAACAGAACACTCCATATTACAAGAAATGAATGGCAGACAGTAAAATCAGTTCATAGTTATTCATCTGTACAAGCTCCAATGTTTTGAATTGTAGTTTGCATATATATTCAAATATCTTCCAAGTCCCTTCACAAACAGCATAATAAGTAAATAATATGAAACGTATTCTTCTGTACCGAGAGCGCTAGTTCAGCAAGGTGATGGCCACTGTTTTGGAAAAGGATTTCATCTTACAGTATTTCAGTATTACTTTTGCAGGAATTGTGTGTGCAATAGGGCTGATGATAAACTCCTTTATAGTTGCTGTCAATGGCATCGACTGGCTGCAGAGGAGACCGATTTCTGCTACGGACAAAATTCTCACCGCGTTAGGGATTTCAAGAATTGTCCTTCAAGTAGCTTCCTTCTCCTATGGGATCCTGACCACTTTCTTCAAAGGTTACCTGAACACGTCTCCCATACGCTGTGCTGTCGACGTGGCTGAGGTCTTCAGTACTCAGTTCAGTTTTTGTCTGACCACCCTCCTCTCTGTTGTCTTCTGCTTGAAGGTCTCCAATTTCCACACTGACTTCCTACAGCGAATGAAGAGGTTTATCTTGCAGAGGGTCATCCATTTTATTGTCATTTCCATGCTGTTTTCCATTTGTTATGCTTCTATCCAAACATGGGAAGAGGACTTTGTTACCTCAATACACGCAGAGTGCAATACAACAGGAAATACTGGAGGGTCCACAGTCAACATTGCCTTCCTCTTAGTATTTGTGTTGGGAAACACGTTGCCTCTTCTTGTATATTGTTTCGCATTAACTTTTCTTGTTGTTTCTTTGTGTCATCACATTTCCAGGATAAGAGCCAACGGCAACTTAACCATCCAAATGGACACTTATTATACACTTATGAAATTTATGGCCATATCGTTTCTGTATTATACTGTCCATAGTGTCGCAGCTCAAGTTATTGTGTATTATTATTATTTTCACCAGGTGGACAGTATATTGTTTTATGCAATTGTGGACTGCGTTCCAGTTCTGCAATCCGTCTATCTGATTTGGGCAACAGCCAAGCTGAGAAGTAAGATCAACAGGATTCTTCAAAGCTTGGCCAAGTGGGTGTAAGATAGAAAAAGGTTCTGAATCCGAATCCAGGGATTCACTGGAAAGAATAGCTCGGTGAAAACAAGGAACAATGCACATCATGCTTTAGTAAAAGGGACAGTATTTTCCAAAATAGAAAATATAGAAGTTGTACACTGTATGGCTGCCCGTCTCATCTATATGAATTTGTTGGACATCCCATTCCTAAATGAAATGATGAGTTCAGGTGTTTCCAGTGAAGAGCCCTGTTAATGTTACTACATACAAAGACATTATAGGCAGTTGTGCTCTTCCAACCTTGTGGTAACAATTTGGGGAAGGCCATTTTTTTATTCCAGCATGACTGTGTACAAAGCCAGCTCCTTAAAGACACGGTTTGACCAGTTTAATGTGCAGGAAATCAAGTGGCCTGCACAGTGCCCTGACCTCTACCGTATTGGACACCTTTGGGATTAACTGGAATGCTAAATGTGAGCCAGGTCTTCTCATCCAGTACCTGACCTCACAAATGCTCCTCACAAATCCCTGCAGACACCAACCACAATCTCATGGAAAGTCTGTTCAGAAGACTCACAAAATGAGGCCATCTCCAGATTGATGCCCATGGTCCTAGAAAGGGATGATCAGGTGTCCAAAACCCTTTGGCCATGTAGTGTGTGCATTTTAAATAGAAATCTGTACCTACCTATTGATATATTTTATAAATAAAGCTATACTTGTAATTGAACACAATTGTTGCCTGTGAGCACCTCTTAGTCCTACCTTTTTGTCCCCCAGAACACAATCTTGCTCAGGAGCTGCCATACACTTGAGAGAAGAGTTATTTGGGCAGGCACGATCTAAGTGCCCTTAGGGAATGCCTTCTGTGGATTAGAGAGTGCTCCATAAAACTGGCCATACAGTGATCTATTTTATTTGAATCTAAAAAAAATAGACCTGATTCCTCCATCAACACTAACAGCGTGTTGATCGAGGAATCACTCTGTTTTCATTGTATTCTGACAGGTGCCCCACAAACTGTGCGAATTTCAGCTGGTTCCCC